ACAATCACAATCGAATACTAGCAATGCACGACAAAAAACAATACCGGCCAAACGAGAGAAGCGAGCAAAAACGATTACAAATGCACCGGCACCAAAGAAACGAACAACTCGTGCCACAAGTATGCCGAATACATCGAATAATGATAATGTCAGCGATGACGATGACGATGGCGATGACGACAATGGTGATGAGGATTCAGAAAGATTCCAATCGATCAAAATGGGTAAACGTAAGTCGTTCAATGAAATTTTAGTGAATAAGGATGAATTGGCTAGCATTATCAATAAAATTGTCACGGACATGAGTCACACTTGGCGACTTGGCGCACTCAACGTACACTGTAGCCTCATGCGAATTATACAATCGAACAATGAAAATGCCATTCGTACCGAATTTTGGAACAGTACGTGTGAATACAATCGAAATTATTTTGATGGTTATTTTCGTGGTGTGTATGGTAATCGTATCAATGGCAAGAAAAAATTGCGAAAAACATGGAAATTGGATCAGGCTATAATCAAGTTCTGTCGGAAGCACAAAGTCATTGAGAAAAATGCAATTGGTTATGGTAACATACGTAGTCTGTATAATAATAATCTATTCGGGCATATTTGAATCAATGTGTGATTTCCGAAGAATTGGCAAACCATCCGAAATCAAATGAGCCGGTTGCGAGTACATCACGCGCTAAAACACCACCACCACCGCCACCACAAAAATGTCGAACATTGAAACAGATACGCAAAGCGAATTACCAATTGATCACCAATACAATGCGCTATTTGTTCAGCGACGAGGCAGAGAATCCGAATTTCTATAAGAAAACGCCACAATCGAAACGACCGCCACGCAAAAAGGCCACCGATGATGAAGTGGCCAAACGAAAAAAGCGACAAAATAGAAAGAATGTGAAAAAGCCAAAACGAAAACGTGATCCAATTCTATTGACACCAGCTATCGAACGTCTTCTGAAGCGTATTCAAACCGATTTTAATCCGATGGATTTCGAAACGAATCGACTCGGATATTTCACCAAATTGACAACAAATTGGTATCGTCATGTGCCATTTTTCGTACAACTTCAGCAATATTGTCGTGCAAGAAATCGTGAACGCTGCGAGCGGTTGAAAAATTCAAAGGAACAGGAAATGAAAAATAACAATGGCAGTAATAAACCCTGGCAACAACCGTTCAATGGCAACAAAGAACTTTGGGATTGCATGTGGCGTAAATATTTCGGCATCAGTAAAATCGAACGCCATTCCACTGGCTTAACATTCGCCAATCGAATACAAACCGATGGCAATGCATTCGTTTTTCTGATGAATAAAGAGAAGAAGACGAAGAAGAAAAACGATGAAAGTGATGCTGAAACCAAAGAACGGCTACGAAATATATTACGCCACTGCGATCGCGAAGTAAGTTTTGATGTTGAAGATCGTGAAATCATTGCCGGCCAAATTATTATCGATCGAGAGAAAGACGATACGGGCGCTGTGAAAGTGAAAAGCGTACGCAATTTTAAAATATCCAGCAAGCAATATCATTGGATGACGAAATTGCCACAGTTCAAGAAACAACGAGATCGACTGGTTGGTACGCTTGAAGACGACAGGGCCGACGATCGTGAGCGCATCGAACGGGAGTGTGAGAACCATGTACAGCCGAGCAGCAGGACGATCGATTTTGAAACGTACGCCGACCATACGTTAAGATTTTTCAATCGGGCCATGGAAGTGTACGGCAGCGAAGAGTATGTACTTACTAATTTTTTGCATTGGATTGAAATCCATCGAACGATTGGTGAATTGGTGCGAATGATTGTCGCACAAGGGCATGGTAAACATACATTTGTGTTTGTCGGCAAGGCGCCGTTCACCCATGCAAATTCACCATGCAAAGGTTATGTACGAACAAGTGTTCGTTTGCTATTCAAAGCACTTGAACAACATCCACAACAAAATTATGTAGCCGTTGCTTCAATGTACTGGGAAATGGTTCGAAGAATGGCCAAAAGACAACAAAATCTCGGTTCAAAGTGTGTCGCCAGTGTAAACCATCGCCAGAAGCACTGCCCGATGGTGGTTCATTCATTTACAGCCACAAGAATTCGAAACAATTGAAGAAGCACAAAAAATATCGCTCACGGAATTCGGACGACGATAGCGGCCAGCCAAAAGTCGAACTGAAACGCTTCAATATGGTCGATGGAATGCTTGTGCCGGCTGCTGAAAATGCTACGATATTATCAGTAAAGAGGCCACGAACACATTTTCGACGTCGGCGCCTAGATGTCATCGCATGGAAATACATATGAAACCGTGATGATATTGGTGATACGAAAAAAGTCCGTTCGGTTACATTGAATTGAGACACTAATGCCGGTCGAAATATTCGACTTCGCGGTATGTTTACAGTGAATCATTTATTTTTTTTAAAAACTTTGAATCTAATATTCAATTTTCATCGTACATGTATTTAGGTCATTATGAACTGTTGGGAATAAAATTGCCAAATGCATTCACAGTCGATGCCGGGACACAAAACCAACATGCAGAGCGACGCTTCGAATTCGCAGAGAATTTGATGAAAATAAGCGTAAAAAGCAACAAAAGGTAATATATTGTGTGCGATTGCATTATTTGTTGAATACAATTTTCGAATTCATGTGATGTGTAAAGTGATTTTGATTATTTTGTTTACATTTCAGTATCAAACAACAAATTCCAATGGAGCTGAATACGATTCGGATCAGTCATGGTGGTCGTCAAGCAGCGAAGAAGATGCAATCGATTTGAGCAACAGTGAATTGTCAGACAACAGTGATGATAGTAATGATAGCGGTAGTGGTAGCGCTAGCGACGATGGCGAAAATTGAGAATAGCATCGTTCACACACTGCACATCACACATTAAAATCAACAATCAATCAATCAAACAAATTAATGAAAAATTAAATTTAGTTTAATTTAAGGAACAATTTTAATAGTTCTTATAATGAAGTCTGGCTAATCAGCGTGGACTTCCGTATTTTCTAACCGATAAAATAACAAAAATAAATAAAATCATAAATAATATAATTTCATCAATAAAATTTTGAGAAAGTGTATCTATTGTTTTGTAAATTTATTTAAAGTCGAATGACTTTTAAACTAAAAAATATTTCAAAAAAGAACAAATTACTATCTCACGAAAATTTCAATGCTTTGATCAAATTCTGTACTATCGATTACAAAATCATTGAATCTAACCCATTTTCGCTATTCCATACATGGCATTAGTGAATCCATGTGAATCTAGCTACTGAATTGTCTATTCCACTTTAATTTCTCGAATTTTTACACTTACAGTCTAATCATATTCGACGTATCTATAGACTAGTAGTCTAATAGTGGGGTATACCCCCTAGACTTGCATAGTGAAATAATGCAAGATATAAAGGTAAGTTTTCAAAAACTAAATGAAAAATCGTTAAATTTAAAAATAATAGTTAAACATTTAGGATCAATATAATTCGAACGCTGCCGGCAACTTTATTTCACCACACCAAAATTATAAGATTTTGTATTTGGAAGCTATGGCGGAGATAACAGAGACGATTCAACCAATATTTCAATAGTATGTGATTATTGGCTCTTATATTGTCGTCAGTAATTTGATTGATATCAGTTTCATTGAAAACCTGCGGAATCCATCCATTTATCTAAAATAAAGCAATCAATTATATTCTTTGTATATACAATACATGAATTATTGTGAAATAGCAAAACCCACTTTATTCAAAAAAAAGTTAAAAAAAATGCATGGTTTCCCAGAATAATAACCATATTCTCCATCAGTTTTTTGTGGTGAACAGTTCTCCAACAATTCAACTCGGAATGGACAAACTTTACCACTTCTAGGTGGTTTAAAATAATCACATTCATCTTCGATATTTTTTTCAAATTCCACATTCGGATCCATATAATCTTTCGAAAAATAGTAGAGTAAGGTGGGGTGATGTGAATCACTTTTTTATACTGTCTCAGAAAAATATCAAAAAATTGAATTTTTGAACAACCTATTCTGTAGAGGAAGGAAAATCCCAAATTTCTGTATCCTCTGATTTTCAAAACTTTGGTTTTTTCATATATTTTTTTCAAATTTTCAAAAACTGTGATTTTTGGAATTTTTCCATACTGTGAATGAGAATAACAATTCGATAATAAATAAAATGTCTTACATACGTAAGATGAACTTTTCCGCACTGTGATCCACAAAATTCATTTATAACTTATCTTTTACTTGAATTTGAACTCACGAAAAACTGAATCTGACATTAGTTTTGCGATACACATAATTTTTGACACACTTTTTATATAAAAATTACTTAAAATGGGAATTTTGGAATGGAATCAATCCTTGCATGACGACGTGAAACTTGACACAGGGTATTTTTTCACAAAAAGCCAACATTCTGGAAGTTTGAAAATACAATTTAGGGGTACTTCCCATACAAAATTTTCGTTTTTGGGTGAAAAATCCAAAATTTTGTTCGGAAGGTACCCCTAATATGTATTGAAATGTCTTCAAACTCTCGGAATATTATTTTTGTGTGATAAAAATAACCTGCGCAAAGTTTCAGGTCATTACGATATCATACAGGCGTGGCTTCCATACAAAAATCCAATTTTTTT